CAGCTGGTCACTGTGACACCATCCAGGTCTCATCTACCAAAGCCAACTACAGCAGCTGCAGTGGGAGGGTTATAATTTTTCAGCCCAAAAAGGGCCGCAACTTGCCCAAGGTCAGTTGGACAGTAGAGAATGAGCAGAGAAATGAACCCAGGTACCTGGTCCCCAGACTGATGCTAGTCACCGGGCTCTCCTGTCTCCAAAGACTCACTTCCTGCTTCCGGCTGCTCATCAAGGTCCAAACAGCATTGCACACATGGATGGCACGGACTGTGCCAGGCGTCGTGCCAGGGGCTTCACAGAGAGTAGCTCATGTACAAGCATCTCTGTCCCAGGGTCCTGTGAATATGTGCACTTGTCCCTTGATACTCACAAGGGACGCAGACCCTGGGTGCTCAAGTCCCTTAGGTAAAAGGACAGAGCATTTCCACATAACTACGCACATCCTGCCATCTACTTTAAGCTATCTCTAGATTACTGATAATACAATGCAAAGGCTGTGCAAATAATCGTATTTTTAGGGACTAGTGATGACTCTGTCCACCATCAGTAAAAAAGGAAGTGATTTTTCTCAGATATTTTGATCTGTGGTTTTTTGAATCTGCATGCAAAACTCATGGAGAGCGAGCAGCAGGTGTAGCATTAAAATTTCTCCTTCCAAGAGGCCGAAGCTGGTAGACAGGGGACTCGGGTCCCTGTAAAGCAACGGCCCCGTCCTCAGATAACTGCTGATGGGAAGGCGCCTTTTCTGGCTGAGTCAGGGCTTCCTAAAGGCCACGCTGGCCCCTCACAGGCCAGGGTGGAGGAAGTCAGCTGTTCCCCTCTATGGGGTAAAGGCCAGGCGTCACAGGGGACACGGAAGCCCCAGCTATGACAGGAGAGGCCAGCCAGTCATTCCTGCCTTCCTGAGCCAGGTTCCAGGAGTGGGGGTCCACAGACCCTGCTTCCTGGCCTCATCCCTGCCAATGTGGCACCATGAATCCAGCACTGAGCTCGGTCCTGGTGAGGTCCCTTGGAGGACCATCACTTATTCATTCAACCACCAGTTCCCATATGTCTGCTGTGTGCCAGGAATCTGGAATGGACACAGGGAATTCCCTTCCAAGGAGGGGTCCCAGAAGCACTCTGTCAGCCATGGACTGGCAGCGTCAAAGGGGAAGGTGATGTTCAGACCCACTTCCACTCACTAAGCCTCGAGTCATGCTGATGCAAGCCAGCCACCCAGGAAGAGCGGGCAGTATCTCACAGCCAGAAATGACCAGGGTCCTGGGGATGCACACGTGTACGCTGGAGGGGCACAGAGGGCCTGGAAACTGTGTACCTGAGCCGCAATCGTTTTCCAAGCATTTACCGTAAGACAGAAACAAGACTACTAAAGGTTTTGCAAGCTCTGTTGTCTATTACACCCTCAGGACATCCGGTGAGGTCATCACCATTATCATCCTTGACTTACAGATTAGGAAACTGAGGCTCCGAAAGAGTCACAGAAGCTGGGCATGATGGTACATGCCGGCAATCCCAGTACTCAGGAAACTGAGGCAGGAGGATTGCTGGGAGTGTGAGGCCAGCCTGGGCTACACAGTGAATTCAAAATCAGCCTGAACTACATGGGAGACACTGTGTTCAGACAGACGAGTGAACAAGAGGAAGGGTCACGGAGATAGGACCAGGAAGAGCCAAGACTCTAGTTCCCAAGTCCTGTTCTGTGCTACCACACTAGCTGGTCCCCGGAGATAGGGTGGCTTGGAGGGGGTGTGGCAGGGAGAGGAGGGGACTGTTTATCTGAGGTGGGGGCTCCTCAGCCAGGCTGCGTGGAGAGCGTGGTGTGCGCAGGTGCACACGTGCACAGGCAGGTGGCCACAACATGCTCTCTGTCAGGAAGGCCAGATCCTGGTCCTGAGTCCCCCTGAAAGCCACGAGAAGAACGGAACACTAGCAGGGCAAGGCAGGGCAGGGCAGGGTAGGGCAGAGCAGGGCAGGGCAGGGCAGGGCAGGGCAGCCCAGCAAGAAGGGACTTTTCTGCGTCACACAGTGCACAAATAGCAGAGCTGGAACCCACTCCAGGAGCCAGAACACAGGCCTCTTTGCCCCTCAGCTGCTTCTCTGTCAGCTCCGAGTGAATCAGCTGCTGACAGGAAACCACCAGGGCAAGAGAATCCAGCGGGGTGGGAGGGGGCAGAGCAAGCTGCTCCAGGGATCGCAGCTGGGCCCTGCAGCAAGGGCACTGGCTTCGCAGGCAGCATCAGGGGCCGCAGCTAGGGGGAAGCGATGCACCCCACAGCACGGGCCCTGTTCGCCTCTGGCCTCTGGGCTTCCCTCCAGCCCTCCGGTGGGCAGGCCTGTTCCTGCTGAGCTCAAACTGCATCTACCCTCTCCTGTCTCTCAAAGCCTGCTGAGCGCTGTCTGATTTCCTGAGCAATAGCTATGATGGTTTGGAACAGGAGCTGAACCTGAGCACCAGTTGGCCCCAGAGCTCCAAACCGGAAGTCACATGCAGGGCTTGGGACTGTTGGCTGGGCACCAGGAGGGCTATCTAGGCTTCGCGGATCAGGGTTGGGCCCCCGGGTGGAGGGGCAGAGCTGGTAGCAGCTTCCTCCTCTAAGGCCTGAGCCCTGCAGAGTGAGCAGGCTGAGGACATCATGCCTCACTTGGTGGGCAATGCATGCCACCCTGGGTACCTGTTGGGTGCCAGGGCCAGCGCCTCCCTGGGTGGGCTACTCCTCCCCTCAGACACCGCCTTCCTGTGCCACAGCCAGAAACTCTTTCTTCGCTCAGCTGTGCACACCCCTCCCACCCATCACCGCAGCACTGGCTCTCTGTCCTGTGGCCAGTGGGTCCACGACCCAGCACACCTGGCCGGCCACCCTCCCTAGAGTGCCATATGGTGCAGTGTTACTGCCTTGCTCCAAAACCTGCAGGGACTCCCACTTTCTGCAACTCAAATGCAAACGTCTAGCCCTGGCATTCGAGGCCCTCCACGAGCTGCTCCTGTCTACCTTTGTCTGCCCTGTGGTCCTAGACTTCAACCAGCCTGATCGATCCAGCAGTTTCCAGAGAAGCTCTGGGAAAGGCGATCTCCTCTCTGCCAAGTCACCTTCTGCCCAGCCAATCCTTAAGGCCCTGAAAACCCCTCCAGCCCTGCTGGCTTAGCTTGTGTATGAGCGTCCTGATGTCCTAGCTGGGGCGCTCCCTGATGGTAAACAGCCTCAGGGTATGGACCTTGGGGTCCTTCACCTCAGGGAGCAGGGGTGGTGGGGTTCCCATTAGATGTTCACTGGGTACAGTTTGCAGTGCATACCCGACACATACATGGGCACCACCTACCGAGCCCTCTCCTCCCCACCATGCCAACCCCTCATCTAAAGCCTGTGAAAGCCTTGGACAGAGGACAACACATCCCACATCAATCCAAGTCCACCTAGGACTGGGGGGCACAGGCGGAAAGTGCTGCTCTGGTCTCACCCTTTACTCCTGCCCTGCATCCACATGTACCCCACGACTGTCATGTGGCACAGCCTTCAGTGAGACAGTCCCATGGTCCTCCTTGACCGGCTCCAGTGTGCGGCTTAACTCGCTGCATCCCACAGTGGACAAACAACACTGCAGGGTCCCCTGTGCCCAAGCCTGCTCAGTGGGCACCAGGTGGCACACTACCCCCCTCACCTCCACCCTAAGTCAGCCATACAGTGCAGCCACTGCAATCAACCACCTGGGCAGTCTGGCCCCTTGAGATCCCATCTGGTCCAGAGCTCTGCATGTGAGTGACCTTCCCTAGCTGGGACATGGTGGGGACAGGGGAGCCTGTGGGCAACACAGGATGAGGGCAGAGGAAGTGTAGCCGCTCACCTCCCTGTCCCCCAGCTCTGTCTTCTGCCCAGCAGGCGACCAGGAATTGGGTTTTAGTTTATTTTGTTGGAAACCTACCAACTTCAAACAACACTGCAAAAAACCCAGTCAGCCTTTGGTTTAGGTGACTCTTCCTAAACCCCAAGGAACAGAGTGATGTGGGTGGCAGGTGGCAGTCCCTGGTCCTGACAAGATCAGGAGTGGACTATAGCCAGCTTCCAGCCATCCACACACCGCTCCTTCTCCGTCAGGACAGCTCCTGCATGAGGCCTCCTTGCTAGACCCCGTGCACGCTTTGTTCTGTTCACCCATTGCTACACTGTCAGGTTGTGACATTACTCACAGACGAGGAAATTGAGGTTTGAGGGGGAAGGATGAGACCCGAGTAGGTTTGGACCCAAAGCCCAAGCTCTTAACCACAGACCTAGGATCCCAGCTGTCGAGGGTGGGGATAAAGCAGCCAGCCCCTACGGGACAGCCTTCAGTCTCCAAAGTTAACCCTGGGGCTGGACTTGACACTTTGCTCAAGTTCGGTGGGAGTTTCCCTTCTCCTCCCCAATTGCCCCATAAGAACCGCTCCTTCCGGTCCCTCCCGGGCCCCTCAGCAGCTATCTGGAAAAGCCCTGCTGAATTTCCACTGGAAGTCCCAGGGGCCCTTCGGGGAGCTGTCAGGACCCAGGGGGAGGCAGGGAGAAAGAATAGAAGCTCTGCCTTGGGATCCCCTCCCCGGGCACAGGAGTTCGAGTCCCACTGGAGGAACCAGTACAATCTTTGAAGTCCTAGCTTTGTTGGGCCCCTTCTGGGCGGAGCAGCGCGACCTGAGCTAGTGGAAGCAGTGGCTCAGTTGCTTCCTTTTGCTGCCAGTGCTCACCTTCCCGGCTCCCCGGAGCTCACCTAGCCTTACTTCCTCCTCCAGGAACCCGAGAGGCCCAGGGCTGGGAGCAGGCCGGGCCCGGAGCCATGCAGCTGGTGCATGGCGGGGCGGGAGAATCGGGGACAGCGGGAATCGGAGGCCGGTGCTCCATTCCACCCACCAGCTGTCCTCATCTGTCACTTGTTGCAAGAAAGAAAGCTGCCCGTGTCAGCTGCGGAAGTGGAGGCAAAAACTAACTTTGTTTCTGGAGCTCCCGTCGGGCTTTCCCGACCCCCTTTCTCACCTGCTGGCTCTGCTTTCTTTGCTCTGCGCTGCAAGCAAATCCGGCGTAGCACGCTCAAGTCCCAGGCCGACTGCGCAGCCCTTAGCTCGGGTCACTCCGCGGTCTCGGAGGCCGTCTGGGAACTCAACTGCCACGGCTTGGCCCCGCCCACTCAAGACCCCGCCCCGGACACGCCCCCGAGCCCTATTGGAGGCAGCTGCTCTCCAACAATACCAGGCTCCGTCCAGCCCCGCCCCATAAAGCCACGCCTCTGACACGCCCCTCAGCGACACCGCCCCCTCTAGGCCTCTGTTTTACCCCGCCGGACCGGCTTGCCCACCCTGTACTCTGCGTCCTATCGCGTCCCAGCGCCCGGCCCACGCACAGCTCTAATAATGGTCCCGCCCCCATAGCCCTCCCTCTCCTTTCCCGGGCCCATCCCGGGCTGCTCGGTCGTCCAGCCTCTTACTCTCTGATGGGACGACCCCTGCCTGCCCCCATCCTGTGGGCCTTGGCAGCCCCAGCTCAGGGCTGCAAACCAGGGCCCCACGCTGCATTCCAGGGCGGGCACATCCGGGTGCAGCCGGGAACGCCGTGGGAGCGGATTGTGTTCCAAGTTTGGGCCTAGATCAGGAGATAGCCCGGAGCTTTCTGAAAATATGAACAGCTACTATGCACTGCCCTGGGCCAGGCTGTGGGCCAAAGCTGTATTATAAGTACTGACCCTTGCGTTTTCACCCTCTGGGGACACCCATATGACCCCCGTTTTATTGGTGCCCAACCCAAGGCTCAGAATGGCAGCTGTCGTGGACCGGGAGTCCCACGCTGGGGGCGGAGTGACAGTATCTGGTCCAAGTACTGAATCACAGGCCTGATGCTGCCAGGCCTGCCCAGACTGGCCCCTGGACAAGTGGCCTGGGGCCAGCACCGTGGGGGAGCCTGCTAGAGGCTGGGAGGAAAGGGCTCCGGCTGGCTCTTGCCCTAGGACAGAAGTGGCCCAGAGCTAGTTGGGCTGTGGGAAATCTCCCGATGACCCAACTCGGCTGCCCAACTCCAGGGGACCAGCCAGGGGCAGGGGACCTGGCAGATGACCAGGGCCATCGCCTGCACCACAGCTGACAAAGCTCTTTCACCCCATTACCTCACTGGCAACCCACAACCAGCCTGTGGGAAGGGCTGCGACCGGGCCTGCTTGCATGGGTGCGGAAGGGCAGGAAGCCAGTTCCCGCTGGGCACGCGGCTCTGAGTGTGGTCCCGAGTCCAAATCGCCCTCATTTATCTGGGAACTAGTTGGGCACACGTACTTCTCTGAATCCTAGGCCTACCCCGTGAGAAACCCTGGTACCTGGAATGAAACCCAGGGCCTTCTCACTGAACTACATCCCCAACCCTTCTTTGAGACTGTCTCCTAAGGCGCTAAAATTGCCCACACTGGGCTTGAACTTGCGATCCTGCATCTGTCGTGAGGTTTGAGAATCAGTGGAGCAGCACGAGGGAGGTCTGGGAGTCACCAGACCTGGGTGGCCTGCCGGTGGCCTCGACACGCAGGGATACTCAGCCTCTCCAGAATGAGCTCCTAAAGGGAGAATAAGAAAACATCGCCACAGCGGCCTTCGGAGTGAAAAGCAGCAATGGTGCTCGAGAAGTCTTTGGCACGCTGCTGGGACACTGCATGCTCAAGGAATGTTTTCTTTCCAGTAAAAGTCCGTTTTATGGAATTTCCATGCCAAGTCATGCAAGTGAGGCAGAGGAATCCTTTCCAGCTGGCAGTGTCCGAGTCCTTCCCACAGCATCTGTCCCACAGAGACCAGGGTCCCAGCGAGCTCACCTAAGAGCGGGAGCTGCTGCCACCACCCAGGGGCCAAGCTTGGAGAACCGCTGTGCCCTTCTGTCCGGGGCTGGGCTCCAGCTCCTCACCAACCCGCCTGTAAAGTGTCATAAAATGCCCCTGCTCACCCTGCTCCGCGTCCCCTCCCCCAAGCTGGGGATGTTGGTGCCCAGGACTTGCAGTTTGTAAAATAGCTGGATCCCACCTGACCCCCACTGCCTCACGCGGATCACATCTGCTCCTCCTGCCTACCTCTGCCACTCCTGATTAGAGATGGAGTCAGCTACAGGAGCAGGAGGCCAGAGTGCAGGCAGCTTCCGAAGTCGCCGCCGTACCCCACTCTGAGTGTCCCCAAGGGGCTCCTGGCCTTGGAGAACCATCATGCTCTGCGAATCTGGAAAATCCAAGTTGGGAATGCAAACTGAGCCTTCATCCCTTACGTCCGTATGTTTATCAGACTGGAAAACAAAATGTTACTCTCCCACCTCGGCAGACGTTCTTTATAACCACCGGGAAGGCCTTGTTCAATGGAGCATTCCTGGACGCTGGAATTCTGCACAGGCCCGTGGTGGTGCGGGAGGGTGAGCCCAGCCGGCTTTCGGCCCACTCCCTCTGCTTCTTGTCCTGTGTCGCTCTCTACCCGTGTCACAGTGGCCCAGGTCTCAGCGTGGGGCATGACAGGCACACGCCCTCTCGCCTGGGTCCCATTGCCTTTGTCTCCCCAGCAGCTGTCACCATGCGTGGAGCCTCAAAGGTCAGCCGTGGAGCAGATGCCTCCTGAGTCATGCCTGGCCCCTCTGCATGGCTTTCCTTGCATGGTTCCCCTCCCCCTCTGCCAGCAGAAGCCAGCTTGGTCACAACCTACACGGGCAGCTTGCCCGTAGAGAGCAAGAGACTCCATCTATTGTGGAATTAATTCTTGAGCTTCTTGAAGAATGAAAGCCTGGGGTGGGGGCTGGTTCTGGAGAGGGGAGGAGGTGGGGAGAGCGGCTCTGGGCAGGCCTGACAGGTGACATCACAGGGCCAGTGTGGAGTGGTGGGATAATGTCACTCTAAGGGCATAATGCCATGGGGTTCCCAGCCTCTCCGATGTGCCCCCCTTTCCTGCAGGAGATCTGTAGGTCCCTGTTGGTACCTGGGCCTAGCAAAGGCCCCAAGACTTTTGTGCAACTCTGGGATGGTAGAGGATAGGTGATGTATGTGTTTCTGGTTACTATGACATTCATCCACTGTGCATCACTATAACAGAATCCCTGGGACGGGTGACTTTATAAAGAAAACAGATTTGCTTTGGCTCCTGGTTCCGAAGGTCCAAAGTTGTTGACAGGACCTCAAGGCCAATGGGACATCACATGACAAGTGTCTCCCTTCTGCTGTCCCTCCTTCTAGCAGTTTTTGTGTCTTGTGCAGTTCAGCTATATAGTTCAGGATGGCCTTGAACTCACCCGCTGGCCTGGAACTCACAGTGATCCTCCTGCCTCAGCCTCCCAAGTGCTGGGATTACAGGCCTGTGCCATCACCCCCGGCTCCCTCTTCTTGTAAAGCTACCAGGATTGCATCACGGGGCCTCCACTCTTCTGAGTTTATCCTAACCCCATCCCTGAAGTCAGCCTTTAGGCACCACGGTCGGGTTAAGTCATCATACTGGGGATTAGGTTTCAACGAGAACCCCTGGGCACCAGGCTCAAACCATAGCCAAACCAGCAGTGTTGCAATCGCTTCTGAGTTTCCTTAGCCCCGAGGGTGCAGTTTGGTTGTCTTGGGGTGGGGGTGGGGGCTTATCTGTGCTCTGGGTGTCAGCAGCTGGCTCTCCAGGGACAGAGGGTCCCTCCAGGAGCTGGTGTGCTCGCGTGGTAGCGAGCTGTGAACCAAGAACATGTCCAGTGCTGGTGACCGAGGGCCTCCTGTCCTCCCAGGTGGTCGCCTGCAGGAGGCTGGAGCATCCTTGCAGCAAGGCTGCTGGGCTTTGGAGCACTTACACATCGTCTCATGACCTAGTTTGGAGGTCAGGCAGTATTGTTACTTCACAAGGGACGAGCCACCCAGAGCCTGTGTGCTGTCTCCATCCACTGCAGGTTCCAGAAATCCTGGGAACCTCTGCCCAGCTGTCAACAGCCAGGCTCGAGCTGACACAGACCCCCCACCCACCCAGGGCCTCTCCTTCCAAGCTGTTCCCGAGTGCTCTGCTGGGTGATGCAGAGCCTACTCTGGATGGGCATCCCCGGGGCACTTCAGGGTTCAGAGCATTTGTGGGGCTGACTTTGGGGATTGGGGTCTGAAAGGCGAGCAGATGGGTGCTGGGAGCCTGAATTTACCTCACTTTATTTTTTTATTTTTATTTTTATTTTTTTTTTTGTCTTTTTCGTTTTTATTGGTACCAGGGATCGAACTCACGACTGCCTGCTTGCAAGGCAGGCGCTTATGCCGCTGAGCTAAATCCCCAGCCCCAATTTACCTCACTTTAAAGCAAAAAAGATATTTCTTCAGTTCTGAGCAAAGAATTTGCACCTCCCTCCTATCCATCAGCATGGTTTCTTTTTTCTTTTCTTTATTGGGTTTTCTTGAGATAGGGTCTTGCTATGTAGTTCAGGCTGGCCTTGAACTTGTGGTGATCCTCCCCCCTCGGCCTCCCGAGTGCTGGGATTACAGGCGTACACCACTGTGTCGGGGGACTTTCCTTAAAGTCATAACCTAAAGTCACACTCATTCAGCCCTGGACACAGCCGATGAGGCCTGGGCTCTCTCCACGCCCTGCTGCAGGACGGAGGCACAGAGGACAGGAGTCAGTGCCAGAGGTTGCACATGGTAAACAGGGATGACCCTGACAATCAACGCAGTTTTCAGGGGCGGAAATGCAGCCCCAGGATGCAAACTGGGCAGCACCTAGGGACCCAGATTCTGTGTGCCCAGCCCTCAAGCAGCGCCTCGCCCCAAAGCCCACATGGGTCCAAGGGCTTCCTGCTGCAGCAGCAGAGCTGACCTCCACGCCATCTCCTGTCCCCTCCTTCCCCGAGGCTCAGGCCAGGAGGTGGCTCTTCCCGCATTTGGCCAAAGGACTTAGTGAGCCTCTGAATTCTAAACTTGTGACAGCTGGGTGGTGGGCGAGCCAGACCACAGCCGGGACTCATCCGGATCTGAGTCACTTAGCAAGGACCCTGGGCGCCCGTCCTGGCCTGCCCTTGCTCTGCCTCAGAGCCTGAGGCTCATCCTGCCCGCCTGGCCTCAGGGGCCTCGGGCGCAGCGGGCAACCCCAGAGCCAGGTTGTCATAGCAACCACAACCATAACATCGACTGCCATCCTGAAGCCTCAGCTGTTTCTGAGTGTCAGGGATTTGCAGAATGACTCACTTAGGCAC